CGCTACTTATCAGTAAGTTTGAAAAAGCACCAGCACTAAGGGTTTGGCTGGAAACGCTTCCTCACACCTCTCAAAATGTGCTCTGTCAAGACTAAAAATTGAAACCGGAGCATATGTAGTTGCAGTCCCGGCTTTTATTTTACGTTCCACCTTTGATTGCAGTTCTTAAAGTTCAGGGGCTGCTCCTTCCTTCCGTCTTCTAGCACCTCTCCGCTGGCTGCCCATTCCATCTCTCACTCAGCAGAAGCTGCCTCCGCCTGCATTTAAGTCGCCACGTACTCTTGCTTCACCTGTACCTTCCTTCTCTGATCTATAACAATTCTCCGGATTATTCATTGCGCTCTTCTCATTCTCGCCTTACCGGCCAAGCCAGTTATTTCAACCTCACTCGTTTACATAGTTTTTCTTCTGCTGTTGAGATTCTGACTCTTTAATTATATAAATCATATTGCTGTGTACTCTCTCTTTTCAGCGGTTTCTTAAAACTCTACCCTACCCCCAAAAAAGTATTCCTTCCCAAAATTCTATGTGTGGTACATGTGCATGCCTTTCCACTGTCCAGGCAGCCTCCCCGCACGAGGAACGTGTGACTGTCAACATCTCATGACTAATCCTTCCTCTTCCACTCCTGCTACCTGGGCAGGATGTTCATGAACCTTCCATGACATCACAGCAAACTCAAGATAATCAACTGGGAGGGGAGGGGAAGGGCAGTCAGAAGTGACAGCCATCTAACTTTCTATGTTGTCCCATTAATAAGGCTGCACTATTGGAGCTGATGACAACAGTACAGTTTCAGAAATCTCACCCCAAATATAAAACTTTTGTCACCATCTTGCTCTCTCTCTCTGCCTTATAAACAGAGGTCATTTCGTAGAAAAAGAGGTGCAGGAGCTCATTAGCATAACTTATTAGCATAACTTATTTGCATATGCCACACCCCCTGACATCACCGGAAGTGTGTCAGAAGGCAACACCCACCATTCAGGCTCCACTGGACTGTTCTAGATTGCTAGCTATTGGGGGGGGGGAACGTGCAGATCTGTCCTCGCAGAGGGGGGAGAGCTTGTGCCTGAATAAAACTTGGTATTAAAGGTGCCACTGGACTGTTTTGGATTGCTAGCTATTGGGGGGGGGACACACACGCAGATCTGCCCTCACAGAGGAGGGACAGCCTGTACCTGAAGGCGGGCCAGGGGGGTCGGCTCTGCAACTTACCTGACTGCTTGTTGCTCCTTGTGGCCCAACTGAGGGCTGCTGGGAGCAGGGGGCGGGGCTTGCTGCATGTTCCCACCCCCTGGGCTCCTTACTGCCGGAGTTCCGCTCCTGTGCGCTCCCGCAGGAAATTGCCCAGCTAATAAAACATACTCTTTGGGTACGATATTAAATATTGGACTGAAAGACAGCATAGGGTTTAGAGAGAGGGATTCTCTGTTTTGGTGGGGTAGAGAAGGGGGGGCAGTAGAGATCAAGGTTAAATTCTGGCTGTGTAACATCATTTCCAAGTATTGTTGTTTTTAAACGGCCATTCTGTGAATTGCTTTGGGAGGCGTTTGTCAAAGTAATGACCTCAATTCTTATTTTGACAGCATGGAAGAAACTTAATAAAGGAGTGAATGATCACTGACATCCTCATTTAAGCGCAAGGGTGTCATTACTAAATACAAAACATCAAACTGAGTGTTTGTTTTGGGGAAGAGACACGATAAGAGAGTTTTCTCCTCTCCATTTTTCTCTGGCAGGCATGATTTCACAGCTTCCGGAGTTAGAAGGTGTGATGCGTGTGCAACTCCACAATACTAGGCTAGTGTTCTGCATCCCCGTCCATGGGATGGCACAGACCTACAGGCTTGAAATTATATTTAGATTGGATTTCTTGAATTTAAATATTTAGATACAGGTATTCTGATTGGGTGGGAAAATGCTTATGGGTGCAAACGAACTCTTAGTCTTCTCCGTGAGAAGGGGGACACAGTGGCACAGGACAGGACAGAAAAAAGAGGGGGAAAGAAGGGAGGTTTCCAACTCTTTTCCCTATGCTAAAGGTTTGCCTTAATCTTTTTTAAAGTAATGATAAAGAAGAGAGATTTGGAGCATGTGCAGAGTGCCTCCCCTCACCCCTAGAGAACTACTGCCTGGCCCCACACATTTAGGTTTAGGAGGAAGAATTCCCTCAAGGGAGAGGATGGCTTAAAAGCAGACTGTTAAGAAACCTATCAAATTTGCCACGGGGCATTTCTGCATGCTCATTTTCCTTGCTTGTACGTTCCTATTTCTTCGGTGGGTCCCCCCCCCCTCTCGTTCTTCACATGTTTTGCTCCCTCTAGTGGTCGATTCAATATCATACAGGTTTATGCCTGGCATAAAAACCTGCAGTTTAAATCTGCAGGGAGATATGCTGGGCATAAACCGGTGTGACATTGAATTGACCACTAGAGAGAGCAAGCCATGGGTGGGACACCCCTCCCCCCAAATGAAGAAACAGGTACTTACATGTTCCCTCTAAGCTGTGGGGTCTTGTGAACAAAAATTCTACTTTGTGAGCCACTGGCATGAAAGTTGCGAGCAAGAGATTTGGCTGCTGGATAAACTAGTTTGCTCTGGAGCCATCCTTCATGATCCAAGACAAAAATGTGTGAGCCAGAGGCTACAAAACTGTGAGCTAGCTCACACTAACTCAGCTTAGAGGGAACACTGCTTACAAGCAAGGAAAATGAGATGAAGAAAAGCTCACAGCCTCAGCAATCCATTTGCTATGTGGCGAAAACATTTCTCTGATACTTTCAACAGACCTCCAAAGAAGAAGCCTTCATCCCTTTTCCTAGAAGATGAAGGTGCCTTCATGTCACAACTGCCTCACAGTGACCCCTCATGGGGCTTTCGAGGCAACAGAGGAGCAGAAGTGGTTTGCCACTGCCTTCTGCCGTACAGCAAGCGGTCTTCCTTGGTGGTCTCCCATCCAAGTTCTAACCATGGCTGACCCCGCTTAGCTTCCAAATTCTGACAAGCGTGGGCTAAGCTGAGCTATTCAGGCTACTGCCTTTTCCTAACTCTTCCCCAAAGCATGCAGCCTCTTTTCTAGATTTGAAGTTTCCCCTTCCACGGGAACTTCTCCAGACGTGCAAGACACTCTCATATGTCCTTTCCAATCCTTCCTTTGGATTTCACAGTTTGGATGTCTCTGATCTTTCTCTGCCCCACAGAGAAACCCTTCAGGATTCATGACCCAAAAGTGAATTCACAGAATTCAGCAGAGCCCAAAAAAGCCAGCACCATCTTGAGCATATTTTGTGCCAAAGAACCCTGTGTCTGAAGGGCAAGTGGAAGATTCTAGATTAGTCATCAGGGCTTACAGTGCTGCCCTAAGGAGAATTGAACTCTTTTTCAGTGGACTTAGAAGGATGTAACCCTGGTTAGGATAGTACTGTTAGCCTAACAGCACACCACTCCCATTAACTTACACATAACAGAGTGGATAAGAGGAAATACATAGATACCTACATACATCAACCACAACCTACTGGATTGGGTTTAGAGGAAGGAAGGGGGCCTATAAACAGTCTGAACAAAACTGATCTACACAACTACACTAAGGGCTTTCCCACATTCTGACTTTCCTGTTTCCTGTTCCTGTTCCTTGAGGTAGTGGTGTGGTTCTGTTCCACATGTGTTTGGCTCCCTCTAGTGTTCAATTTGATATCATGCAGGCTTACATCTGGCATACCGCCCTGCGGATTTAACCTGCAGGGGTTTACGCTGGACACAAACCTATGTGATATTGAATCAACCACTAGAGGGAGCAAAACATGTGAGGAACAGACACAACCACTAGAGGGAGCAAAACGTGTGTAGAACAGACACCGTCCCCCTGAAGAAACAAGAACTTACAAGCAAGGAAAATGAGAATGCAGAAAAGACTTAAAAACAAGCAAGGAAAATGAGAATGCATAAAAGACTTAAATATGAATAAAACAGTTTGAAACCAGTTTAAATGGGAGTGGTAACAACTGGTAGTTTGGAGACAACTCTGAGAATCAGCGGTCCCTTGGTTCCTCCACAGAACTACATTTCCCAGGTCTCCTTGGCTAATGGCATAACTAGATGCTATGGCATCCACAGGTCTGACCTGTGGACGATGATGCCATTTTAGAGCTGGACTCAGGCCATTTAAAGAGGCCAGAGCCTGCAGCATGGTGGGACCAGGTGTTTGTTTCCACCCCCGGGGAAACAAAATCATCCTTTCCCACAGTGCTGCAGGCCAAATGGCATTTTTAAATGGCCTGAGTTCAGCTCTAAAATGGCGTCATTATCCAAGGGTTGGACCTGTAGACACTATAGCATCTCATTTTGTCTTAAGAGGAAAGCTATGCTATTTGAACATACTGCTGTGAAAACTAGTATAAACCTTTAATACAGACTTGGCTGAAGTGAAATGCTGAGAGGTTGTTGCTCCTTACATTCTATTAAGGCAGCATTTCCTACCTATCAGTCCCAGGTTTGCTATTGAAGGTTAAAAAACACTATCACAAACAGAGAGAAGAGATGAATAGCAACAGCCGTATTAAAGCACCCCGTCACAAAAGTCCAAATTCCAGAAATAAACAGCACTTTAAAGAAATGAAAGGGATCCTACTCAGCGTTCCAGCAGGACTGGACTTAAATCCTCTATAAAGTTACTATTTTGAAGAGACCAAAGTCCAGTCTCTAGACGGCTTTACACCTTGTCTTTTAAGAGCAGATGCAATCTTGACAGGACAGATAGCAAAGAAGATTTGCAGGAGAAATCTAGAGGTAGAGGAGAGCAAGAGTATTATCAAAAATAATTGAACCTGTGGATTGCCACTGAGCAGGAACTGAGGTTTCGGCAGCAGAGATGATTTGGGACTGGTTGGAGAAGACTTGGGTGGGCCATTGCTTGCTTGCTGAGGCAATAACATCTGACAATCAAACGCCATGTTCTCCAAAGTGGCACGGCTACATCTGGACACGGTGGTGCCCACCTTTCTTTCTTCTTTCTCAGTGTCAACCGATCTCAGTTGGGGAAACGTAAATTCCATTGGTGCAGGGAAGCTGATTTCACTGATAGCCATTTCAAGTTCTCTGATGGTCTCTTCCAAGTTGTCCAGTCTTCGGTAGGTATCTTTGCAAATCTCATGACTGCTTAAAGTTGTGTTATCGAGAGACATGTGTTCCTTTTGCTGGTCTTCTGGTTTGCTCTTTAAGTTTATCTTTTCTTCTCCTGCAAGGGGACACACCAGTTCTGAGGGCTCCTGCATGGATTCCATATCATACTCAATTGCATCCTTGTTCATGGGGGATTTTTGATTCTGCAAGGGAAAATACAATCCTGGGACATCTCTTTGCACCTGTGTACAAACACCACTGGGGTCTTCCAAAGCTGTTGGTGCTTCCTCCAGGCTCTGGTTGGCTTCTCCCTTTTGGGGCTCTGCAACACCATTTTTGCTATGCAGTCCAATGAGTATTTCATCTTTTTCCATAGATGTCTCACAACCGTATATAACCTCTGATGGGATAAGAGCTTCTTGACCATCAGCTGAATGGACCCCGGTTCCTTGACCAGATGTTTGTTGACTATTGTCTTGCTTCTCGGCAAAGCTGAAAATCACCAGGCCTCCTTGCTGACCAACTGTCCCCTCCAGAGAAGCTCTTGCTGTTTCCACTATGCCTTCTTCTTCCCCATTATCACTGTTGAAAGGATGCTCAGTTCCAGAACTTGGCAGAGATCCCTGAGTTCTTATCAATTTCTGTGGAGACTGGGTACATGTTAAGTCTACGCTGTGTAATGTGGATGAGGCAGAAATGAATGGTTCCGGCTGCCAGTTACTTTTGCTCAGCTTCCCAGACAAAACGTCTGCCCTCTTGGACTTCCCTTCTGTTTCTACTGTAGTCCATCCAATGCTTTCCGACTGTCCTCTGATGCTTTGGTGGTCATCGCCCTGAGGACCGCATATTTCCAAACCTGCCTCTGGCTGAGATTCAGGAATCGGCAGGCCAGAAACCCACTCAGAAAAGATAATTTGAGGAAGGTGGGAAATGTTACCTGGTGGCAGCTTTGAAAGTCCTGACTCCTAAAGGAAAAATTCAGACAAGAATCATTGTGGTGGGGGCAAAAAAACAGGAGAACCACAATGTTCCCAGGTTTCCCTGCCTGAATGGACCAATACTGTATCTGGTCCCATCTTGTGGCTCTCTCACTACCCTACATATCTGCATCTAAGGGCCTGGACAACTCCTAGGGTTGCTTGTAGGTTCCTGCTTTTTCTGGGCCTTTTCCTCCTGTTCTGCATGTGTTCTGCTTCCTCTAGTAGTTGATTCAATATTATATTGGTTTATGTCCAGCATAAAAATCTGCAGGGAGATATGTTGAACATGGAACCATTAAATCAGCCTACCGGATAAAACTAACCTGCTGATATGTATGTGACCATTTATGCTGAGACAAAAAAGGAATTAAATTATGCCTGCCTGGATGTACCAGGTTGACAGCGGATTCTCTTTCCACTCTGGCCTTTGATCAGACTCCCGAATATGCTGATGAATCAGAGATTGATCAAGGGTCTACATGAGTTATCATCCGCATTTTACAATGATATACCTCTCCAACAGGTGAGTTGTAAGGAAATTTGAAGGGGTTGTCACAGTTATGCCAGAGATCACTACATGTTTTGGAGATGGTGCTGGGTAGCTTTGGATTCTGCAGCAGATCTAGGGTTGGATCCAATCAGATTTTCTGCTGGTGAAAAATGCCCTTTGATCACTGAAAAAAGAGCTCTGTGGGGAATCATGGGACCTCCAGGGACAAAAATGTGGATGGGGTCTATAGTAGGGAGGAGAGTTGGGCGAGATCGAGTGAGATAGCTGACTGGCCCCGACCCTTGATTTGCTCCTCCCACTAGTTCTATAGGGCTCCTCCCTACTTCTTGCCACATAATCCACCCTGCTTACCTGGGATTGTGATGCTTGGGCTCGTGGGAGGCTGTGTGAACTGAAGTTTGTCCCAGCTACACGATGGCCAGCAGGAAGGGACGCCTAATAGTAGAACAGTGCAACGTGATGGTTACTGTGACCCCTCCCAACTCCCCCCCTCCACTTAGATAAAGAGTGACAGCAGGGGATCTGTTCAGCAGGGAATAGAGCAAGAAGATAAGTCTGGCTGCTGTGCTCCCCGGTTCCTCCCAAGGAGAGCTGGAAATTATAATAGGAAAGCAGCACGGTTTAGAACAACCCGCCAGCAGCTCTGGGTGCGGGATTTTTAAGCAACCATTTTAGATGCCAAGCTTACCTTTGGGAGCTAAGATATGCAAGAGGGGTCTAATTTAATATTCAGGCAAGGTGCTAGTTAGAGTGTCAGGCCAGGATCTGGGAGACTTCAGTCCCCACTCTGCCATGCAAGTTCCCTGGGTGACCTTGGCTCTAGTCACGCATTCTCACTCTAACCTACCTCACAGGGTTGTTGTGAGGGCAAAATGGAGGCAAGCGATGTAAGCTGCTTTGAGTTCCTGTTGGGGAGGCAGGCAAGGTATACATGAAGTAAATAAATGGATAATAAATGGATATCAGGTGCCCATTTCCTCTCCTCTGGAAAACTGCTGCATCATTCTACAAAAGGATATTAAGGATATTCGCATATCCCTGATTTTGCGTACTTTATTCTAAAATATAGCCTTTCAGAGAAGACTTTAAGCTGGGGTCCCCCCCCCAGGACTTAGGGGCAATGGAAGGAAGATGTGTGTTATACTTGGCACAGCATCCCTGCCAGTATCTGCTACCCCTGAGCTGCACCCCCAAACTGTTGTCCCCAAAGGGCCTTCAGCTTCCCTTCTGATCAGGGTGACCTTGTGGTTTTACAAAACCTTCCGTCCCTTTCTAGAGGGAGGTGAAGTATTAACAGCCCTGATCTAATTCCCAAGAGGAATCAGGGAGGGAAAGTGTGAATGTAAACAAGGGAAGTGTTGTTAGGCAAGTAAAGAAATTTGAGCTCTTTGGTTGGAACCTTAAGAACCCAAAAGCCGAGGAAAGAAACTAGCAAAAAGGCTGCAGTGCAACAGGTGAAGTTGTACCTGGAATACAGACAAAAGTGTTTTCTAAAATTACAGTTTTGGTCTGAGAACCGACACAAACAGCAGCGGGCGAATGCGGCACACAAATGTGGAAACTGCAAATGGTGGACTGCAGAGAGGCACTGCTGGAACTCTCTGAGTGATGTAATGACACTATTACTGACTGGCCAAATACCACATTTTGCTAGAATACAGCTGTAACCCAAAATGGGACTTCCAGACTGGAATTGCTCCTACCCACAGGTGCATTCCTTATATGAATAAAGGACTGATCAGGCTTACATGAGTTGTCATGTCCCGGCTTCTCAGTGCCAAAGAAATTAGAAAAAAAAATAGCTCAAGATGGGGAAAGATAGGTTTTCCCATCTTGGTCCTCTAACTAGTTCACATTCCACATTCTTCAGGTCCATAAAGCCAGTCCTAAAGAACAGATATCCTCTAGTTCCTCTGTGTCTGCAGAAGCAGGTGTGCTCTCACTCCTATGACCCTCCAGGAGCACGTACTCCCTAGCTCCAACATCCGGTCATTAGTTATGGCCTGCTTCTTGTGGTGGTTGGGAGTGAAGCCCAAGACGCAAGAGAGAGACCTGGCACTTCCCAACCCTACTGGTGCTCGCTAACTTACAAAAATAAGTAAATATTCTTTCTTAAATGCATCCAATTACACACTGAACCCAGTGAGGGTTCCCAATATAGCCCCAGGGAGCATGTTTTGACACCTCTAATGACTGAAAAACCATCTTTTGATTCCCAGGGACTGTAAGGCAGACTATCAAGCCTCGCTTTAAATGTGAACAGATGACAGACTGAGGCTCTCTGTGTGAGCCGCATGACATTTCTCAAGTTGGGATTCATGCACTTGGAAATCAGCAGTGGGAACAAGCGCTCAGGCCCTGCCAAGAAGGTGCAGCATGCGTGCAATCAGAGAATCTCTTGATTTGTAAGTGCAGGTAGAATCACAGTGCAGACAGAATTTCCCAGCATTCCCCAGGGGAGGCCCAGCAGTCCAAATGTACCCCTCTGTGAGAGCCCACGCAGCCAGTGCTCACTGGATCCCATGTCGTGTCAACACAAACACACACTGCTTGGTGTCATATGGGTGAGGGGGGGGGGAGTGTGAAAAGAGCCGTTAGTTGGTTAATGTAAAGAGAAAGAAGAGTTAACAAGGGCTGCAGAAAAAAAGGAAGAGGAGTCCTGTTAAAGGTGCAGTGGGGAGCCAGTCGGAGGGGAGGAAGAGAAGAAGGGAATTGTGGTCCATTGGGAAAATGGCTGTTACCTTCCATCCTTCTGGTGCTACAGTGGCCCCATTGGGCCACGTTTCTGCGGTTGGTGCAAGCTGGTCGCAACGGAACTTAGGAATAAATGAAGAGCTTCTTTGAAAGACCTGAGGAAGTCAGAACATTGGGGGGGGGGGGTTGGAGGGTGTAAACAGATAGACAACAAAATCGTGTGGGTTGCCAATTCTGGCACTGGAGCCTTAAACAATGGCTCAAAACTGGAGTGCTGGGGTTAAAAAAAAAGGACCCCCAAAAAGCTGTTGTGGCCAGATAGTTTCTCAAAGACTGAAATAGCGGGCTTTTCTGCATTCTCATTTTACTCCCTGTTAAGTTCCTGTTTCTTTTGGGGTTTGGTGTTTTTGTTTTTTATGCATGTTTTTCTCCCTCTAGTGGTTTAATCAGTTTAATCTGCAGGGAGATATGCTGTAAATCATGTAATATTGAATCAACCAGTAGAGGGAGCAAAACACATGCACAACAGAACACCCAAGACCCTAAAGAAACAGGAACTTAACGGAGAGTTAAATGAGAATGTGGGAAAGCCCAGTGTTATCAAATCATGAGAATACATACTTTGAATTAGGACGCACACTATACACAGTGCAATGTTCATGACGCATAATAATGATAAACAAAAGTAGGAATAAAATTATAAATATCAGCAATACACATCATTTTTCAACGCTGGAAGGTGTAGGATGCGAAACCCTAGAAGGATCACTCTGTGGTCCATAAAAGAAAGCCTTTTCAGCTGAGAAAAGGCAAATGTAAGGAAAGAAAGGAAAACATATTGTTTTTACAAAATACACCCACACCTAATCTCTTGATTCCCAGCCCACACTTACCAAATGGTCTTGGCCCATCTGTAATGACATAAAAGCCTCCCAAAAGCTGTAGTGCAGGGATGTCAAACTGGCCTGTCCAGGGCTTCAATGCGGCCCATGAACAGCTAGTGCACGGGAGGGAACAGGAGACTGCCCAGAGGGAGTGGGAGGAGCCACTCCGACTGTGGCTTCAGCATGGCGGAACAACGTTGTCTGCAGCAGTCAAGCAGCATGGGAGCATCTGCCCAGTGCTGCACCGCTGGCTCCCCAGTCTGCCCATGTGGGTTTTCCTCTGCACCCCCCTCCCCCAGCCCACAGGGCCTTGCAGTGAGGATACAACAACTCAGAGCTTCCCAGCTGCTCTCATTTGTACAGTTTATATCTCCGGTACCTGGCATTACGTTTTATGGTACACATGGCCCGGCCCCACAAAGTGCCACTTATGTCAGATCCGGCCCTTTTAACAGATAAGTTCGACACCTCTGCTATAGTGGGTATGCCTGAGGACACAATCAGTGCTCCCTCTAAGCTGTGGAGTCTTGTGAGCAAAAATTCTACTCTGTGAGCTACTGGCTGTCCCGCCCCGGAGGTCGTGGGATGCGCAGACCGGGCGCTGTGGACCCCGACAGACCCTGCGCGGCCCCCTAGGCATGACTCACCAGACGGGGTGAAGGCCAACTGTCCGGGGAGGGAGTCGGGAGCGGGGGGCCCTCCCTGGTCAGGCTGCATCAGCTGGGCCCGGAGACAGGCCCAGGGTCCACGAGGCGGCACCACGGAGGAGGAGAGGGGCAGCGGCAGCTGCTCTCTCAAGCCAGGAGCGGGCGCGAAGCAGCAGGTACAGTCGCAGATCGGCGGCAGCGCGGCCCAGGGGCGGCCAGAGCCACCAGCAGCACTCGCCCCGGAGACGCCCTGCCGGCGTCCAGGCAGATAAAGGAGGGCGTGGCCCAAGTCGAGGGGGCGGATGGGCGGTCCTGGGAGCGGGGTGGGGAGATAAAAGGCAGGGTGGAGAAGGGGCCAGGGAGGAGGAGTGCGCTGTGGAATGGAGTGGGGCCCTGACAAACAGAGAGACGGCAAAGAGAGAAGGAAGTCCGCAGCGTACTGGCAGAGGGACTCTCAGGGTGACGTTAACCCTGTCCCCTGCCTGTCTGAGGCCCCTCACTCCCTCTCCCTTTTTGGAACCTACCGCTCCAAGGGCCGTCTCCCCTACCAGAGTCAGGTCGTGAACCCTGATGCCACGGCCACCGGGGGCGTCGCACTAGAGTCCACGGGTGAGCACGATACTGGCATTGGAGTCATGAGCCAGCGATTTGGCTAATGCATAAATTAGTTTGCTCTGGAGCCCTCCTTCCTGAGCTAAGACAAAAATCTGTGAGCTGGAGGCTAAAAAACTGTGGGCTAGCACACACTAACTCAGCTTAGAGGGGACACTGGACAAAATCCCTGTAGTGTCTACAGTTCTAAACAACTGCCTTGCCGGATCAGGGCCAAGGTTCATTTAACCCAGCATTCCACTTCCAGTCAAATCCAGATCCCCCAACCAGGGCACCAGCAGGGCTGAGAAGTGATGCCCCCCCCCCAATTCGTCCTTAGCATTCACAAGGATACTGCCGCCATACATGGAAGCTTCATCTAGTTATCCTGACTTATAGGATACGCCTACCTTCTATTAATTTGTTTTGTTGGTCGGTGCGTCCTCTTTAAAAAGCATAGGAATGAGTCAAACCTGGCAGTTCTCTAGGGCATGAAGCAGAGAAAGATCTCTCCTGGTCCATTGGTGGCTATTAGCCACAAGGTATAGATAGGGACTCTGGGGCAAGGGATGCACTGTATTCTTGGTGCTTGGGGGGGGTCAATAGTGGGAGGGCTCCTAGTGTCCTGGCCCCACTGGTGGACCTCCTGATGGCACCTGGTATTTTTGGCCACTGTGTGACAGAGTGTTGGACTGGATGGGCCATTGGCCTGATCCAACATTGGCTTCTCTTATGACATGTTCTGTTAACGAGAGCTTTTTAAAAAAATAACTGGAGATACCAAAGACTGGACACAGAGTGTGAACTATGCTTAGGGTTGCCACCTGTGGGTTGGGAAACACCTGGAGATTTTGGAGGTGGAGCCTGGGGAGGGGGCGGTTTGGGGAGGGGAGGGGCCTCAACAGAGTACAATGCCATAGAGTCCACCCTCCAAAGTAGCCATTTTCTCCAGGGGAACTGATCTGTGTCATCTGGAGATCAACTGTAATAGCAGGAGAACTCCAGGTACCACCTGGAGGTTGGCAGCCCTAACTATGCCACGAAGTAGGGTTGCTAGCAAGCATTAACAGGGCTTAATGTGCAGAAAAGGGCAGCTGAAGCTTTTACGTGCATCCAGGCAAATAAGATCTGCTGACGAGTAACATCCCATTAAGGTTGTATTAAAGGGGCAGGACTTTTCCTCCCTCCAGGCAGTTAGCAACTCAGTCACTGAACCATACTGCCACCTCCTGAGAAATCCCCCTTTTGGTGGTCTTATTCATCCCTGGGAAAGTCTGGCTGCCACCACCTCTGCTGCTGTTGCTCTGCGTTTCTCACCCGAGAGGCACTGAAAGAGCCTTCTAAAAACACAAACTTTAGAAGGATCAAATTGGGCAAATGTAGTTCTCAGAACGCCCACTAGGAGCCAGCATTTCCCCATAAAGTCTGAAACCCTTTAAGGCATCATTCTAACCGGGGTTTGCATTCTGCAACATGGCTTGACCTTTATAACAGTAATTAATAATAGTAATTAGTCACCAGATGAATTCCTAAAACTTGCATGGATGATGACGAGTAAGGCAGATTTCAGTGCTGGGATTCTCTTTTAAAGAGATCCAACTTTCTGGATATTTCCTCCCCAGATGTCTCCCCCCTTTTTTGCCTTTCAGGACCTGAAATTCGTGGTCAGCAAACTATGTAAAAGGTAAAGGTAAAGGTTCCCTTGCTCGAAAGCCAGTCGAATCCGACTCTAGGGTTGCGGTGCTCATCTCCGTTTCAAAGCCGAAGAGCCAGCGCTGTCCGAAGACGTTTCCGTAGTCATGTGGCCGGCATGACTAAACCCCAAGGCGCACGGAACGCTGTTACCTTCCCACCGAAGTGGTACCTATTTATCTACTTGCAATTTCTTGCTTTCGAACTGCTAGGTTGGCAGGAGCTGGAACTAGAGACAGGAGCTCACCCCGTCTTGCAGCACCCGGGTCTTGAACTGCTGAACTACTGACCTTCCACAGCCTGCAGTTCAGCGTCTTAACCACTTGAGCCACCGCAGCTCCACCAGCAAACTATGAGGGTTTACCAAAACTCTCTCTGGTTAATTGACCAATGGGACAGTTATGCATTACATTTTATTATGTGCAGATAATCATTCTTCCCCTTTAAAGCAACTCTATTAAGCAGATGTCCTCTTCAAGATTCAAAACATAAAACTTCTATGACTGCGAGACATTCTTGCTAGAATCACAAAAAGCTTTTGGAGCGGCCTGGACAAAGATTGCATTAAACAAGAGGGGAAAAAGAATCTGGATCACAGCAGTTAAATTTGGATCATATCACCAAAGCGTACTTTGGGAGGATAACTGGCTCTATGCATACAAATAAAGAAACTGTATATTTTGGGGATCTTCCTACCCAAAGATATCTGGATCTTTGGATCAGTTATACATAATAAGATCAACAGTGCAGTCCTATGCAGAGTTACACCAGCCTAAGCCCTTTCAAGTCAGTCAATGGACTTTGATTGGAGTAACTATGTACAGGCCTGCACTACTAAACATCTGGGCCATATAGGGCCGTGGTCTCCAACGTGGTGCCCACAGGTGCTCTTTGACATCTTTCCTGGTGCCCACCAAGTGCTTTTAGAAAGTGGGTGGGTCTAGGTCAAAAGGAAAAGGGAATGGGGCCTCCCCCTTGGCCACCAAAAAGTCCATGCCAGGGTTCGTGAGATCCCATGGACAAAAGCCACATAGGAAGGAGGCTGCAGTCAGGAGGGAAATTGGGTGGGACTGAGTGAAAAAGATGGCTGGATCCAACCCGATGATTCCAAATAAAGGTGCAAAGGAGAAAAACAAAATGAGGTAGGAAAATAGTCCTCTGTTGGTAGCATAGATTTGATTGAGGGGTGAAAAAATTAAAACAAATCAAGTCTAAAAGTAATGAAATATGTACGGCCATAATTAAAATCTGGGATAAATGCAGGGAAGAATTAGTTCCTGCTGTTTCACACAGTGCTGGCATCAGATCTGTATTGTAAAAGATTTGCAAATCAGTGGCAGAACTGAATAACAATGTTATCGAGGAACAATGCAATTTATCAAGGGCCGCAAACCTTTTTTAATGGCAGGCTTTTTACTTAGAAGGGAGTGAAATATAAAATGCAGACCTGAAGTATTTTCTGCATTTACAAATTTTGGCAAGGGAGAGCTTGACGTGACAAGAAACCTGATGGAATGAGAACAGTGGCTAATACTGCCTGTTATTTGCAAAGGGCTGAGACACAAGGGGTTGAATCCATGGGGCTAAATCCAGTGACCTCCCTTTACCAAGTCTTCCTTCAATGGAGAAAGACTTCTTCCATGCAGAAAGACATTGAAGGAAGCTTTTCATCATCACGGGATCTTTTTACGACCGAGGAAGTCTTTGGGTTAAACGACACAAAACAGACAATCTCTGTAGCAGCTCCTACATTATAGAAGAGTCTGCCTGAAGCTACTAGGAAGGCCCTCCCTATATTCCTATCCTTTCGTAGAAACTGCACAATGGATTTGCTCTGGATGGCATACTTGTAGAGGGGGTAAAGCTGGGGTGTAATGGACCAGCTTGGGAGGTGACCTCTGTTAGGGATAATGCGTGCCCCCCTGCCAGTTCTTCAATCCCAGCCCCACTGCATTACGTTGTTTTATTAGGAATCTATGCTGTTGGACACAGATGCTGTTATCCTGTTTCATAATCTGCTTGCTGATTGTCACAATAGCCTTGTTTTACCAGGAATCTTTGCTATTAGTAGATTCAAGTGTTGTCTTTCAAATGTTCATATTTTGTGCTGATGCCATCGAGGCAGATGGAACTCTCACCTGAAGTCTGTAGGAGGCAGCCAGTCCCATGTTCTGACCTGCACTGAGCAGAGGCTTCAAGGTAACGGAAATCCTTTAGGACATCTGTAACTTTCTAAGCTAAGGAGCCTGCCTTTTGTTTAACATCTGCTAGGACATGTACAGAGGGAGGGATTGCATTTTACCCTTTTCTTTTGAATCCCTTGCTCAGTTCGGTGCTGTGCTGAGGGTATGCTTGTGGAATTTTCGTTTTAATAAATGCTTTGTAACTTTTGATGCTGGTAGTGGTTCTCTGTACCACACAGACTTCTACAGTCTTGGACATGCTATTTTAAAAGGAGGGCCAGGACGAAGGGGAGGGGTAGTCAGTTGGCAAGTGGCTACTCCCCCAGTGGTGCACAAGGCAGTAAGCCATCTCCACAATAACCATACACTGGATAGTGTAACTGGACTGTGCTTGGTGGATGGGAGCAATTGGATGAGATCAGGCCGTAGAATTTTGATGCAGGTGGGATTTTATGTTTAAAGACATCAAGAGAAATGAGAAAGGGGTTTATAGTTGCGAATTTCAAAGAGCAGGCTTGCAGCTGTAAGGAAAAGCCGAGGTACTTTTTATCAAAGTATCAACTTTTATCAGTCTTCCATTAGGAAAATATATGTAAATACATCTGATATGTTTGCAGGTATAATCAAGCCAATGCAAATTGCTGCAAACCAATGGTGGCCTTGTAAGAAAGTGAGTTTATATACTGGAGAACCATTAATCGAAAGATCAAAGACATTTTAAAAAAGGCGCACTATACCATAAAGCCCTTTTCTAATTATCCTCGGCTATCTGAAACCTTGCATCTGGAATCTACGTAAAGCTCTCGGGGCAACATGTTGATAATGGCATGTGCTTTTGCAGCAATGAAGCACAAGAAGAGCTGCGTCATCTACAAAAGAGGAGCGGCAGAGCAGCATCTGGCAAACTATATTAATGATCAAGCTGACCTTTTACAAACATTTATGGGAAGTGACAAATCAGCCAAGGCAATCCTTGCTTGATCAATGGAGACCATTTATTGTACACTAGAACCATAACAGGCCTAATGAAAATGTCTGACAAGACATATTATCAGTGATGTAATATTTTTATTAATGAAGTTTAGTTTAGATATTTGGTAGGGTTTTTTTCCTTTTTAAAGAAACAAGTGTTTCCAAGAGCAGCCACACATAAGAACTGCTGGGAACTGTCATGTGGAGGGGGAGAGTGGAGAAATAGGTGGCAAGTAAAGGGTTAAAAACCCTCCCTTCCCCCATCACTTCTGCACTCTAAATCCCTTTCTCCCCTCAGTGGTGTTGCTTTTCATAAAAGACATCAGGACACAATGACACACATTTGCACATGTTGATTGGTTGATCTCTACAGCCCAGTCACGAACAGACCAACACACTCAAACCATGGCTTTTGTAGACTGATAGAAAATACTTCAACGAAAAAGAAAACTGTAAATTTGCAGATGATCTCTCTGTAGGTTATATCCTGTGTCTGTCCCAGACTTCGGGGAGTACAAACATGTTAGGCAAGGGTTCAAATTTGGTGATGAACATTTCAGGGCAGCTAGGGGCTTTTCCACATTCTCATTTTTCGCTTGTGTCTTTCCTGTTGCTTTGGGGTGTTTTCCCTGTCCTGCACATGTTTTGCTCCCTCTAGTGGTAGATTCAATATTACACCATTTTATGTCCAGCATAAAAATGTGCAGTTTAAATCCGCAAGAAGTTATGCCAGGTGTAAAGCAATGTAATAACACATTGACCACTAGAGGAAGCAGGTGGAACAGAAAATACCTCTCAAAGCAACAGGGAAATACAAGTGAGGAAAACTAGAATGGGGAAGAGCCCTAAGTCTGGAGTAGTATGGGATGCACTTAAAGCGGTATACTGTGCAGACATTCTCTCAAAGCATAATCCTACCTGTGGGGAATCCACTCGGGTGAACATCTCAGTGAATCTACCACAGTTCTAGATTCCAATGCCTATAAAACATAGGAAGTTCACCTCCCCGTGCTACCTACGACTACAGCACAGTTTCTTAAACACCACTCCAGCAGGCACATATGAGACCTCCTGGAAGACTATTGATTTAGCGACCAAAGACACTCCTTTGACCCATATGGACAGTGACTGCTCTGCAGCCACAGCTGAGCACCAGTTTGCAAAGTGCCGCACTAAAGTCCCTCCTTACGTCTTTCCTGCCCTACCTCGAGTTCAGCAATGATCCTGTCTTCGTCATCATCATCTTTGATGGCAGAGGCAATGATGGGTGGAGTCGAAGCTGGCCGGGCAACCTCCGAGACAGTCCTCCTCAGTTTCACCTGCGGCTTCTGCGTCTCCAGCTCTTCTGACTCTGCTTTCTGTGATCACAATGCATGCAAGAGAGTAGCAGAACGGGGAGGGGTGGGTGGGTAGTTAATAGTGAGGATAGCAAGGGGAGGATAAAGGCAGTCAGACCTCTTCTGGAATGTGTGCTTTAAGGAAGATGTGCAAGTGGAGATGGTTGGGAGGTCTGGAGAAAGAAGTCTGACGGGGAAAACTGGAAGGAACTGGGTGTATTTAGCCTGGAGACACGGATGCCAGCCTCCAGGTGGAGCCCGGGTATTCCCCTGGAATTACAGTTCATTGCCAGGCTACAGAGCTCAGTTCCCTTGGAGAAAACGGATGCTTTGGAGGGTGGATTCTACAGCATTGTACCCCACTGAGGTCTCTGTCCTCTCCATACTCCGTCCCCAAATCTCCAGGAATTTTCCAACCTGGATCTGGCAACCCTACCCCCCCAGTCCCCCACCAATGACCACAGGAGACCTGGCAACCCTAGATAACTGAGGGGAGACTTCATTTCACTTTGAAGGGCAGTTCTCATAGAAGAGAGCTCTTCTCCGCTACTCCAGAGGGCAAGACAAGATCTAATGCCACAGGACAATAGATTTGTGTCGAACACAAGCAGAAACTTCCTCATGGAAAGAATGGTTTGGACAACGGAACCAATTACCTAAAGGATGGAGGGCTCCCCCTTGCTGGAGGTCTTCTAGCAGAGACTGGCCGACCATCTGCCAGGGACACTCTAGCCTGCACTGAGGGAGGGGTTGGACTTGGTGCCCTACCCCATGACTCATCCTTGAGTATCTCTAGCCTGGTACAAACCTAATCCTTTTGACAGAGACTGAGAGTTTCCTACCTTCATAAAGCTGGATTCCTTTTTGCTGGTGACAATCACTTCTCCTGTGCGAGTGGTTGTGAGGCCATGGGAGGACGGGAAACTTCGCCGAGGTGGGGGCGGGGGAGGAGACTTGGAGGGCTTCTCGGTTCGATACCTAGGCACCGTCAACTCATCTAGGGAGGTGACAAGATTCATGTTAGAAGTTATGCCTTTCACTCACAACTATCATCCTGCGCAGGTGCTAAATCCAAAGGTTCTTCACAATGGTGGAATTGTTCTTCTGGCTCCCCCCCCCTTCCTTCAAAGCATCCTGCTAGTAAAACTAGTTGCTCAGACAGTTTTCAAGGCATCACAGGTTCAAAATGGTTAAAAAATGGGTTAAATTTCCTGATTTCCTCCAAAAAATCTGGAACTTGGGGAAAGAGGATGAAAAACTTAGTTAACCCAGTATGAAACCAGTTCAGATCTGGACCATGGACAATTAGATCACCCACTTCTGACACTATGTAGTGTTCTGTGGCGATATGCCTTGTCTGATGAACAACAACACCTAGTTGTTGTTTATAGACCAGCTTTATTTAGTAGAAGGAGACGCCAAGAAAGGAGAGCAAAGAACAACATCACAGGACTGGAGAGTATGCTGACCCTCCCCATTCTATCAGGTTAAATACATCACCATAAAATGGAAAGCCATGTACTTAAAGATATACACACATCACATCTGTGGTAGTGGTGATGGAAAGTGCCATCAGGTCACAGCTGATTTACAGTGACCCCATGTGGTTTTCAAGGCAAGAGACGAACAGAGGTGGTTTGCCATTGCCTGCTTCTGTGTAGCGACTCAGGAATTCCTTGGTGGTCTCCCATTCAAGTACTAACTAGGACCAACCCTGCTTAGCTTCTGAGATGGATGAGATCGGGCTAGCCTGGCGACACAAGTCAGAGCTAGATCATCACCAGTAGCATAGATTATCAGCAGGCCCAGATTTATAACTAGGTCAGTTAAGGACCCTAGGGGATGCATGGTTGCTGCCTCGCTACATCCCACCTTTCCCTGCATTTCCCTGGTACTCTAAGACCCGTGTGACGTAATGCCTCCAGGCCCAGCTTTCCCCCCACACTCCTCTCCCTATACCTTTCCTATCCTGCTTGCAGGGCCAGAGAAAACTGGAACAATACATCACATCAAATGGTTCTTTTGACTAGATTTTTTGGGGAGGTGCAGTAAATGGGATGAGAAGGGAGAGAGGTGGTTTGCTGTGAGCTTCTGAAGCTCCTTTTTGTAGAGCTATCTATTTTGGACTGCCTGGAGTTGAAGGACAGGCTATATCTGAGCATCTGCACACCGTCGGTCATTGCGCTACCATTGTGCTACGGAAGCCCTTTGCTACTGGGATGACAATCCCGTTGCAGGTGATTGCTACAACGGAACCGTAGTGCAATAGCCAGTGGTGCAGGGGATACAAAACATTAAACAATTAAACAACAAGGATCCGTTCACGATTTACATATCACTGTAAATCTTTAAATGTTTCCCAAGGTTTGGAAAACTGAGAGGGTTCCCTGTGCATTCCAGGGCTGTCAGTGCCTGTTGAGAACACGTTCTCCAATGTCGGCCTTACTGTTCATCAGTCTGCACGAAAGAGTGACACCAGAGTGTACATTGTCACTAATAGCCACTCATAGATCTCTGCTCCATATAAGACCATAAAAGAAGCCATGTTAGATCAGGCCAATGGTCCAGCCAGTCCAACACTCTGTGTCAGACAGTGGTCAAAACCAAGATGCCATCAGGAGGTCTATCAGCAGAGCCAGAACTCCAGAGGCCCTCCCACTGTTGCCCCCCAAGCACCAAGAACACAGAGCATCACTGCCCCAGACAGAGAGTTCCATCTGTACCTTGTGGCTAATAGCCACTGATGGACCTCTGCTCCATATGTTTATCCAATCTGTCTATGCTTGTAGCCGCTACCACTTCTTGAGGTAGTGAATTCCACGTATTAATGACTCTTTGGGTACGTTTGTTGGCTAGATAAGACCGTGATTCTGTTAAACTTTAAAAAAATTATTTAAAGGGGTGCCTTATTAAATGAAAATCCCATCAATTTAGGATTTAGCCTACATGGAAATTCACATGGGGAGAAGGAAACGGCACTTATCTCCCTCCCCAGGACATTTTCCTTATCAAAACTATCCATATCCTTTACACAGCTTGGCACAAAAAAAAAAGCAGCTTGCAAAGGACAGTATACTGATAAGAAAAAAAATGGTCCACAAGAAGAAAGCAGAGAAACACCCCCTCCCTCCTATGGTACATGAACTCCCTGCACTCTGGTTTCAACTTTCTTAAGCTAGTTTGGGTTTTTTTTAAAAAAAAATAATAAAAGTTAAAAACCCTTGAGAAAACATTTAGAGCCTTAGGCCCGTTTTCATGGAGTGATAAAAATACAGGTGGGCCTGAACCACTTCAGACCACAAGTGGAGGCTCCACTTAATAATCCTCTGCCATACACAAATACGTCCACGCACTGAGAAAACTAGCCTGTCAGGAAGCAGGGCTCAAGCCCAGACTTGTCCTTGACATGGTGGTTCTCTTTGCACATGGACTTTTTGTTGTTGGCCAGGAGCGTTCCATCATGTGAGCCCCCACCTACAGTCGAAAGTGGCACAACGAGGTTGTTGTGAAGATCAAACGGGAAAGTGCCTTCAGCCTTTACTCCTCAGGCCACGGTATCTGTAGATCAGGCACTGGAATCTCTGATATTTATTTTACTTCCTTTGTACCCCATTTTCTTCCCCAGTGTGGACCCAATGCCACAAATTGCTCTCTTCGCCTTCATTTTATCCTCACAACAACCTTGTGAGGTAGGTTAGGCTGAGAGTGTCTGACCCAAGGTCTCACAGCACGCTTCCACGTCAAAATGGGGGGATTCAAACCCAGGCCTCCCAGATTCTAGTCCAATGCTCTAACCATTATATATACCATGATGACCCTCTGACATGCCCAATACCAGTTTCTGCACATATCTAGCAGAATAAATTAGTCTGCTCTGGAGCCATCCTTCCTGAGCTAAGACAAAAATGGGTGAGCTAGAGGCTAAAAAACTGTGAGCTAGCTCACACTAACTCGGCTTAGAGGGAACACTGTTCACAGCTACCCTCCCCCACTCCCCCAGTGACCCCTGCTCTATGCCCAGAGCAAGGCAGAAAACCTCCAGCATCCCTGGGCCAATCAGGCCTGGGGGAAAATTCCTTTCTGACCCCAAAGTGGAGACTGGCATTACCCTGGGCATATAAGAAAGCCCTGACTCATCCCTTCCTGCCTTCCCTCTCATGATCTGCCTACATTCACAGAATCAGCATTGCTGCCAGATGGCCACCTAGCCTCTGCTTAAAAACCTCCGAAGGAGGAGAAGCCCACCACCTCCCAAGGAAGCTTTTGCCACTGAGGAGCCACTCGAACTGTCAGGAAGTTTTTAAATTACTCAGTTAAATCTCCAAAAATTCCCTACGTGTTTCGCCAACAGGTTTCGTCAGGGGAATCTGTTTGTCTTGCAGTCGTTCTTCAGAAAGAGTAAAAGGTCAGTAGGTAATTGTCACTGGAAGGACTACCTACTGGGTTTTTTTACTCTTTCTGAAGAACTACTGCAAGACAAACAGATTCCCCTGACGAAGCCTGTTGGCGAAACGCATAGGGAATTTTTGGAGATTTAATTGAGTAATACACACACACACACACTTTACCTGATTTTGCACCATCGGCCTTGGCCCTATTTTTTATCTCCTGTGACTTTCCCCGCTAATAAACAAAGATCCCTATCAGGCAAGGTGAATTCAAATGACCAAGACTAATTTAGAAAAAATGGGACTCTTGCCTGAGGATTTATTGGCGCAAAACAACATACAGGCGAGAAGTATAATAAAACAAAGGATTTGTGATCTTGAGCGCCAAGGGGATTTAAACTGAGCTCCTTCTTTTCTGGTCCATAATGACTCCAGACAGGGGTCATTTCCTGGAAAAAGAGGTGCAGGACCTCATTAGCATGACTCATTAGCATAACTCATTAGCATATGCCACACCCCCTGACATCACCGAAAGTGTGTCAGAAGGCAACACCCGCCGTTCAGGCTCCATTGGACTGTTTTGGATTGCTAGCTATTGGGGGGGGGGGCAGACATGCAGATCTGTCCTCGCAGAGGAGGGAGAGTTTGTACCTGAATAAAATTTGTTCTTAAAGGTGCCACTGGACTGTTTTGGATCGGGGGGTTCTGCAACTTACCTGGCTGCTTCTTGCTCCAACTGAGGGCTGCTGGAAGCAGGGGGTGGGGCTTGTTGCCTGTGCCCGCCCCCTGGGCTCTTTACTGCCGGAGCTCCGCTCCTGTGCGCTCCCGCAGGAAATGACCCCTGACTCCAGATATGTAATGAAAACAGCTAAATACCTGACTCATCTGGATGTGCCACCCTATAGAAGAGCTCTTACCCTGGCTCGTTGTGCGGCTATTCCCTCTAAGGCTTTAGAAGGAAACTATAGAAAGATACCATATGAAGACAGGTGCTGCCCATGCTCTATGGGAGAAGTGGAATCGATGTTCCACATGTTCTTTCACTGTCTATTTCATCAGGTTTATAGGGATAAGCTTATTGCCCCCCCCCTTGGATAGACCAGCATTTGATGCAGATAGTGCTGATCTAGAGAGACTTTTGATAGAGCAAAATCAGCAGATCTCCAGACAAATAGCAAAATTCTGCTGGCAACTGGTAAAATCCCACAATAAGAAGCAGATCAAGTAGAATCCTCATTTACCTTTTGCATGACTCATAAGTAGTTTAGTTTTAAACATCTTATAATTATTTCAATATAAGGACTGTTTAACTTTTCTCCTTTTAACATTTTGATGATTTTAAGGTTATATGTTTATTTTTAGAGCCGAAAGCTAATCTGCTTGTATTTAACGAACATCTATTATTTTTGATAAATGGTCTTTGACCGCAAATAAGCATCATTCCATTCATCTCCTGTGACTGGTGCAGCTCTTTATTTTCTTGTTACTTTGTGGGTGAGAAAATGGAAGAGGATGGAGTTACGCCGTGTCTGTAGTGAGATTCTGGGAGGGCAAAGAACCACCAGATGCATAAAAAAAGTCCCTCGACTTAAAGCATCGGGGTAGAGAAGGCTACACGGTGATTTTGTTGGGACACTGTAACTCTGCATGCAAGACGTTCTGTGAAGGAAAAGGTTAAGAGAATTCCCTTCCTCGGGTACGTTTGCCCCATCCTCTCATCGGTTAGATGTTGAACGTCTCTGGTTCTTGCTTGCCTTCTGTTTCCATTTTATATAGGGCATCCCCTTCTTCTCTCGCTTACCTGGGCTTGGAGCTGGAGCAAGTTTACCTTTTTTGAAGTTATTCTGTTCACAATAAGTTAAATGCACCTACACAGGGGGTCATTTCCTGCAGGAGCGCACAGGAGCAGAGCTCCGGCAGTAAAGAGCCCAGGAGGCGGGCACATGCAACAAGCCCCACCCCCTTCTCCCAGCAGCCCTCAGTCAGAGCAAGAAGCAGCCAGGTAAGTTGCAGAGCTGCCCCCGCCCCCCCCCCGGCCCAAAACAGTCCAGTGGCACCTTTAAGACAAGGTTTTATTCAGGTACAAGCTCTCCCTCCTCTGTGAGGGCAGATCTGCACGTTCCCCCCCCCCCAATAGCTAGCAATCCAAAACAGTCCAGTGGAGCCTGAGCAGTGGGTGTTGCCTTCTGACACACTCCCAGTGATGTCAGAGGGTGTGGCATATGCAAATAAGTTATGCTAAGGAGTTATGCTAATGAGCTCCTGCACCTCTTTTTCTATGAAATGTCCCCTGCAGCACCTACATGAATATGTCATGTAAGATGTGCTTCTATTTTCTTTCTCTTGTTACCAATGGAGTCAGATCATCTTTGCAATTTGTTTGAACAGCATTTCCCTTAGTCGGGAAATGTGGAAGATTGGAGACACCGCGTAAAGCTTCTGTGCTTCCAAGGCAATTGGCGTTTTTTACATTTAACCCCACTGACTTTACCTGACCCCCGGCGCCCATTGAGGTCCATTTTGGCCGTGGTCTTCTGTGCGTGCTGGGGCTTGGGGGGCTTGTGCTCGGGGGTGGAGGCCGCACTTCCACTGCCGCCACTGCTGGAGGTCTGTTTGTGCTTAGCCGCAAACTCCAAGTCAGGGATGGCTTTCATCAGCTCCGCTTGGGTCTCTTCCAGGAGGCGGTTAATGTCCTTGGCGCTGTACTGGGTCAAGGCTGCCCGCTTCTCCTCCCAGTCCCGCTCTGCAGCCTGTAAGGCAGGGCCATGTTCATTGTTATGCTAAGTGCTCCAAAATTTATTTCTTTAAAATATTTATAAGCCGCTTTGTTGACATAAAGTGGTTATTAGTTATACAGACAATTCCATACACATTTAAACCAGGGATCCCCAAACTTTTTGAGCCTGCAGGCACACTTGGGATTCTGACACAAAATGGCTGCTGCAGGAGGCGGAGCCGGCCACGATATGAATGCCATGGCTTAACTTCAATAACACAGTGGAGATCCTTGTGCTGTGGTGGTAACTGCTGTCAAAGCAACATTTTTTTAAAAAATGTGCAGCCAATCAAATCTCCAGTGGTTGATCAGAAGCCTTGTTAGGTTTGTCAGGTCCTACCTTTCTGCCTGTGGGGAGATCGATGGTCCTTTCCTGGAGCTTCTGCTGGAAGTGACGTCATCACACCACGGCCGTCATGCAGTGATGCTCTAGTTTTTGGGCAAAACTCTGTGGTTTGAGCCCACTTTTACCATAGAGTTTTGCCCAAAAACTAGAGTGTTAGTGGAGTGATGGCATCATTTCTGGGTGATGTCATTGTGCCATGTTTCGGGGCATTTGTGGACGGGTTTCCTCCCTGCCAGCCAGCTGGCTGGTGGCGGGGAGGAGCCCACAAAAGAGGGGGAACCCCCACCCAGACCAGGGGTGGGGGGCTGACGACCCTATGCTGGGCAAAAACCCTAGCTAGCCCCACCAACTTCCTAAAAACACTTGGCAGGTGCCAGAAAAGGTATCAGTGAGTGACCGGGTGCCCATGGATACCACATTGGGGACCTCTGGTTTAAATCGACAGCAGGTCAAACCATCAGCATGGCAGCAGGACTGTTTGCAAAGGCCCCTTTAAATCATTCTGCCTTATGTTGTTGTTGTTCAGTCGCACAGTCGAGTCCGACTCTTCGTGACCCCATGGACCAGATCACGCCAGGCCTTCCCGTCTTCCGCCATCCTCTGAAGTTTGCTCAATTTCATGTTCGTTGCATCTATGATACTGTCTAACCATCTCATCCTTTGCTGTCCCCGTCTTCTTTGACCCCCCCCCCAAAAAAAAAACTGCTGGGGAAGACACTTCCCACACTTCTGTAAGCAGGAAGACACTTCCCACACTTCTGCCACTGAAAAAGCCCTGCTGCAAACCAAACCCATCCTACCCTCCCTTGGTATACAGTCCCCATTATGATTAGTACTCAGTAAAAGGCGAAAGATTTATGCGATCTGAAGAGAAACCAGATTAGTACTCAGGGGCACACACCTGGGAGTCAGGAGCCAGAGCAGAAGTCCACAAACACAAGCCGAGTCCAAAAAGCCACAGAGTCAAACAGGAATCAAGGTGCAGAGCTTCTGGTTCTACGAACAAGGTTGCCAACTCAAAGTACTCATGGCCAGAGGCCCTACTAAATAGTGCTCTGGCTCATTAACATATTAGCACCTTTGTGCGAGGTCCTGGCTGCTGTTTAAACTCAGGGCTCAAGGATCTCCTCTTGAACGTGCTTCTTTTCATCGGCTAGCCAGATCCTGACGTCTCCTATCCCTAAGACGGCTTACAGGTGGGGGAGATGCAGATGGTGAGCTGTTTACGGCTGGATCAATCCCAGGTGCAAACCGTCCTGTAGTTGGCTCAGATTGCTGTGTATCCTCCTCCATACTTACAGTAGGTACAGATCCTGATGCTTCTTCAGCTCTTAAAGGCACGGGATCCTCCCCTCTTAGGCTGTCAGGAGCAGGTTCTGGGGCTGAGTCAAGGGCAGGCATGACAGTGGTAGCCATTTTGTGGGCATGCCCACCGTGCTGTTCCAGCATTGCAAAGATGTTGCTGGTGGGCCTACAAAGCCCCCTTCCACCAAAAAATCTGGGGACCCCTGTCTTAAAGGATCGTGCCTTGATAGCGTGGGGGAAGGGGGAGGATTGATTTTTTCACCCTGGAGACAAAAATATCTTGGGCTAGCCCTGATTGCCTTAGGCAAATCCCTGATGTCGTCCAGGGGGTGGGCTGCCAGCAGTCAAGCCCTCAAACAGAGGCCCACCCCAATTTCCTTTCCCACTCCACAAACAAGAAATGTTCTCACCTCCATAGACACCGATCTGTCCACATTCCTTTTGCTGGGGGTCTCGGACCCCATCTGGGTCTTGATTACAACCATCTCCAACCCCCGGGACGGGTTGCTGCTCTTGGAGATGTGGCTCTGCCCAGGACTTTGCCCAAAGCTGCTTGTGCCCAGGCTGTCGGTCGAAGAGGTCAGGTCGTGGAGGTTCATTGGGGGACTGGTGGGCATCTCGAAATCCAGGCCCTTGCTGAAGTCGCTTTCTGGCTCCACCTTCTTTGGAGACTGGCTGAGAAGGTTACTGGAGGAGTCCCAGACACCATCATCCACTTGCCTGCCAGGAACAGTGCATGAAACATCAAGAGAAGGCCAAGAGTCTCTTGCAGAAGCCCATGTATGCAGTGGATTTAAAAATGGCTTCCATGTGAAAATACCACATTGTCACATTTGTCTGTCTAAAAGGGAGCATTTTTAATAGCACATCTGTGTGCATGAACAGCAGTTAGCATTGCCAGCACTGCCTCAGCAAATGCCAGGAGATTTTGAGGGTAGTGCCTGGGGAGGCGGAGTTTGGGGACAATGTGACATCACTTCTGAAGACACTCTAGTAATTTCCCCTATGTCTATGGTAAAGACTATGGAGATTCCTCGAGCACTGCTACGGAGGCCATTTTCTGTCCATTTTTCCTCCTGCTCCTCAGTTTCTCAAGGCCATGGGACTGGGGCCAAAAGCAGGAAACCACAGCTGGACAAATGGCCAGCCTAACAGCAGCACTGAAAACTGTGACGGCTGGGTCTGAATGTCAGTGAGGGCAAAAGAAGCTGTAACTTCCAGGAAACAGCAAACGAGGGGTGCATCAATGTCCTGATGGTGGCAAAGCCCCGGTTAGTGAGAGAGGCCTTTTAGCATCAAGGAGCAGGCCTTAAATAAATACTGCTGTGTATTTCCACGAGAACAGTTTGAAGATGCCTTCTTGGATAGCAAAGAAGATCTAGTTCAAACCCGTTCCTGGGAAAGGCGGGCAGGCAGGCGGGCAGGCGGGCGGGCAGGCGGGGGGGGGGGTGCCTGAGAATCCTACATATAGCTCCTGAGCTCCTTGGAGGTAGCTGGGAGCACAAATGCAATTAATTTTTAAAATCTTTGCAAAATGGTGGGACTTGGGGATGCTCGAGAATTAAAGCTCATCTTCAGACTATGGAGATCAGTTCCCCTGGAGAAAACAGCTGCTTTGGAGGGTGGGGTCTGTGGCACATCGTACCCCACTGAGGTCCCTGTCCTCCCCAGGCTCCATCCCCAAATCTCCAGGAATTTCCCAACCTGTATCTGTCAACCCTACCCCCCCCCATCCCCCACCAGTGGCCGGGGGGACCTGGCAATCCTAGTTTGCAATACTGAACCAAAAGGAAGATACAAAGCTGGGAAAATATAGGAACATAAAGAAATCAAGCTGTGGGGAAAAACAGTAATAAAGCAGAGAAAGAAAATATGGTCTCTGTGTGTAATTTTATGAAAAATACAAGTGCAAAAGTTCCAAAAATTCAATAGTGCTAAAACCATCTAAAGATGTAAGAATTCACGGAGATGAAGTCCAAATACATAAATGAAAATGAAGTCCAGATGAAGAACAAAGATTTCGGATATATCTTTCGTTTCGACAATCTTCTTCAAAGGTGGACTATGATTGTCTTCAGTAAGTACCATCAGAATTCTATTCACAGTGAATTCTATTTGTATTGTTTGTATTTTTAAGTTGTGTTTTCACTTTAAATAGAATTTTGATGGTACTTGAAATTATTCTTTGAGAACTGAAAACATCAAAAGAAAGTAAGTGTTTTTTAAAATAATTGTTCACATAAATTTGTAATTACATAGCCTATGGAAGGTCGGCAGCTCGGCAGTTCGAGGCCCGAGTGAGTGGGTGAGCTCCCGTCTCTGGCCCTAGCTCCTGCCAACTTAGTAGTTCGAAAGCAAGAAACTGCAAGTAGATAAATAGGAACCACTTCAGTGGGAAGGTAGCAGCATTCTGTATGCCTTGGCATTTAGTCATGCCGGCCACATGACCACAGAAGCATCTTCAGACAGCACTGGCTCTTTGGCTTGGAAATGGAGAGCAGCACCACCCCCTAGAGTCAGATTTGACTGGCTTTTGAGCAAGGGAACCTTTACTTTTACCTTTTTAATATATTATTGCAGTCTATTACTGAAGACAATCATAGTCCACCTTTGAAGAAGATTGTCGAAGCGAAAGATATATCTGGAATCTTCATTGTTCATCTGGACTTCATTTTCATTTATGTATTTGGATTTCATTTCCATGTATTTTTATGTCTTTCGATTGTATCAGCGCTATCACATTTTTGGAATTTTTGCGCTTGTATTTTTCATAAAATTACACACAGACCACATTTTCTTTCTTAGCATCTTCAGTAGCATCTTTTCCCATAGCTTGATTTCTTTCTGTTCCCAACCCTAGTTTGCAAGCACACCTGAGAGACCTCCTGAAGGGAAGCGCCGAGCACCCCGCCTATCAGGTCCCATGTGGGGGAGTGAGGTTTTGCCTCCAGAGAGGGGTCACTCACCTGCGAACTTGGGCCAGGGTGTCCGTCACCGTCTTGCAGCGCTTGAACAGGCCGTCCAGCCGGTGGGGCTCTTCCTTGAGGAACTTCACGGCCTCAACTTCCACACGAAGGACCACGCGCATTTTGCTCTGCAGGCTGGGGAAATTAGCTGCAATGCCAGGGGTGGGCAGAGAGGGGAGGGAGAGGCATGGGGGTCAGAGCAGGCCTGAGGAAGGCTTTCACCTGGGGGGAAGGGAGGCGTGGAGCTGAGAAGGGAAGCAGGCGGGCGGGATGGGGGAGGGCTCAGGTGAGTCAGGTACTAGGCCTCCTGCGGCCACTCCCGCTACTTGGTCTCAGAGGAGAAACTGCATGCTCCCAACGGGCAAACACCCGCCATAACATCCTCTCCCAGTCTTGTGCCCCCAAAGAAAGTAAGCCTCGGTGTGCTCTGCATTCATTGGAGAGTGGAGAGGGGAAGTTACCGGGTCCCCAACCTTTCTGAGTCTGCGGGCACGTTTGGACTTCTGACACAGCGTGGTGGGCGCAGCCGCAAAATGTCTGCCACAGGAGGTGGAGCCGGCCGCAACGGGGCGACCACAGCTTACCTCCAGTCACACAGTGAAGATCCTTGTGCTGTGGTGGTGGTCACTGCCGAAGGGATGTTTTTAAAGATCTGTGCAGCCAATCAAATCTCCAGTGGCCAGTCAGAAGCCTTGTTCAGCAAAGCTCCGCCCACTTTATAAAAAACATTTTGTAGGCACCAAGTTGGGGACCCCTGAGCTATGCTTTTGTGAACTTAGTAATTATTCTTAACCAGGGCTTTTTTTGTAGAAAAAGCCCAGCAGGAACTCATCAGCATAATAGCTCACACACAACAGCAGAAACTCATTAGCATATTAGACCACACCCCTGACAGGGTAGCTCATTAGCATATTAGGCCACGCCCCATGCCTTTCTTTGGCTTGCCCAGGCGCCCTGCGGCTGCAGGGAGCCCAGGCAAGCCGGCCCTTGGAGGGAAGGTAGTTTATACTGCCTTCCCTTGGCTTGCCCTTAGCTTGCCGGGGAAGGCGCAGGGAGGCATTTTAATGCCTCCCCAATCCTTCCAGGGCCCCCCTGGACTGCACGCCTTGGAGTCGCCGGGGGGTCACTCTCCAGGCCTTCCCTCTGTAGCCACGCATGCAGAGGTTTTGGCTGTAGTGGGCGTGGCCAACTCTGAAGCCAGCCGTAACTCCGTTCCTGTGCGTTCCTGCCCAAAAATAGCCCTGTTCTTAACCAAAACCAATTGGGTAGAAGGATTTGGGGGGAGGGGCGGGGCAGGGGGGAGAAGCGTGCTACACTGAGGGCATGATCAAAATGGCCTATCAATGCAAATTCACACATGAAACATACCACAGCACACAGGAGACACAAAACACTAGTCCTCGAGAACTGCTACTGTCAGATCCAAACTTGGAAAGCACGAGCCTTTGTTAGGACCTTGGGATACGTCTACACTGGTTTTCCTCAATAGTTTTTTTTCATTTTGAACGATCTGCCCTTTGGACTGCTGGCTTGCCTCGCAGCTCCTTGTGTTAAATGTCACCAACTTGGTGAATGTAGACATTTATCAGCAAGTCTTAACATTGCACATGTCCCAGAGAGGAAATGTCAGAAACTGTTATGTCAAGAACCAGTGACATTTACACTCGTAGCATGGGGACACACCTGGAAACCCACCGACCCCCGGAAGTGAGATTGCTAGCCAGTCAGTGATGGAGAAATCCCTTCCCAAACACTGAACTTCCATTCAAACACACAAACCATCAATAGTGCATATTAATATGGACTAATGAACACACTTTTACCCTCCTGTTCATGCTCGCTCTTTTTCAAGGACAGCTGTGCCAGAGCTTGTGACTGACCCAAGGTCACATCAGCAGGTGCAAGTGGAGGAGTGGGGAATCAAACCCGGTTCTCCCAGATTAGAGTCCACACACTTAACCACTACACCAAACTGGCCCTCCTGTTCATGCTCACAGTCAGTGCAATTAAATGATAACTGCATCTAAACAGTGAGGGCTCTCCATTTAATTTTTTTTTTAAAGGTCATTTCTGCATTCTCATTTTTCTTGCTTGTGTGTTCCTGCTGCTTCAGGGTGAGGGGTTGCTCTCTCTAGTGGTCTATTTAATGTTACTTATTGTCCAGCATATCTCCCTGCAGATTTGACATAACACGATGTAATATCCAATTGACCACCAGAGGGAGCAAAACGCACACAGAACAGAACCCCGTCCCCACAAGCAACAGGAACACACAAACAATGAAAATGAGAATGCGGAAAAATCCAGAGTCTCTAGTCCTTTTTATTGTGGATCTGTATGGTGCAGCCCTCTGCTGGTGGTAGTGGTGGGGAATAGTAGCCATGGGGGGCTGAGGTAAGGAAAATGGCACTGATGAGGCCATGATCTTAAATATTATGCAGTTTCCCATCCACCACATGGCATGCAAGGAGCAGCAACACAGTGTCTGTTGCTCTATCTTGTGGCAGGTAAGCCATTCAATTGTTGGAATCTAGTAGGGCACCGATGTACTGTATTTTCTGAACTGGTTGAAGTTGAGACTTTTCCTGATTGACTTGTAGGCCCAGGTTTTCCAGGAGTGCCAGTGTCTCGTTGATGTCTGAGACCAGGGCGTCCTTGGAGGATGCTACCAAGAGCCAATCGTCGATGTACGGGTAGACGGAGATACTCCTGAGATGGAGGAAAGCCGCAACCACAATCATAGTCCTTGTGAAGACTCTTGGGCCGCTTGAAAGGCCAAATGGCAGGGCTGCATATTGGTAATGTTGTTGACCAATTGCGAAGCGTAGGTATT